CTTGATAAGACACCAGAAGTAATGATCTTAAGTAATGATTTTATTTATGTCATAATTATCGAATAAAAATAATATATATATATATATATATATATATATATATATATATATATATATATATATATATATTTGGTTGGATAGATGTGAGTTTGTGGCCCTGGGTTTCACGTTTTAGCGATCGTCAGACAAACTCTATATATAAGGTGTAGTAAAAATACTTTTACAAACTTTACATACGGGTTCCTCACGTCAAAACAACGTCAATAAATAAAAAAAAACCATCAAATAATGTAGACAATTTTTTTCTGCTTATTTTTAATATGATCCTCTCATATTTACGGGCCAGATTCTTAATATACTTATTAAAGGTAGAAAGAAAGTTGCCATATTGATACCCATTCATTTTCCGAGTACTTTCGACATTAGCCAAATGTCATCTTCAGGGTCTTGTTATATTATGGTCTTGTTTTATCTAAGACAAATTTGTTGTATTCATCTGAAAATTAATTTTTTTATTTGTGAAGTGAAAAATCTTAAACTTAGGTACTGTACGATTTTTTAAAAACTTTTATGATGTATGTATACTGGTCAATTAGCGTCAAGTGAAGTAACTAACTTATGATATCTATTTATTTCTTAAGAATCTATTTAAATCTATTAGTTAAAGCCTAGATATTTTAAAAATATCTATTGTAAATATTTTTGAATATTTGTTCAGCATTCATAATTAATTTTATTAAGGGTTGGTTCCAAATTTTTATATAGAAAGCTTCAAGAATTTTTAGTTTATGTTTATTATTTTCATGTAAAAGTATGTATGTATTTTCAAAAATAATTTTTCTAAATTGCGAATTGGACAGACATGCTTTTGTAAAATTTGAGAGCTGCATCATGCAAATGACAACACAATCTCCGAGACGTAATTGTAGTGGGACTAACATAAATATTTTGTGTGTGTGTATATACGTGTGTGTTCAAGGTCCGATGAAGAAGGTATTAGAAAAAAAGAAAACTTTTGTTTGGTCATTTGATTATATTTTTTATTTTTGTTGAGCTCCACGTATTTAATTCGTTAGCTGATTGTAATTACTTATATAAATATACTTATATCTGTTCATGCATTTATCAACAAGTTTTAAAATATTATTAGTTTCTTTCTATCTATCTATCTATCTATCTATCTATCTATCTATCTATCTATCTATCTTGTTCTGTTCATTATCTATCTATCTATCTATCTATCTATCTATCTATCTATCTATCTTGTTCTGTTCATTACCTATCTCGTTCTGTTATCTATCTATCTATCTATCTATCTATCTATCTATCTATCTATCTATCTAGCAAGAGTGATGGACAGACTGTTAAAAACACCCGATGTAGTTGGGGACAGTCTCTCACATACTGAGAGGATTTAAGATTCACGTATCAGAGGAGATGTATCCAGTGCCGCTAATATACCACAAACTGACTGCGTGTAACTGACGAAATATTTTTGTGAATAAAATGTTAATGCATATTTAAATTGTGTTATCATTTAATCCCACACAGACTTTAGTATATACTAGCTTACCGTGTTATAAAAACTAGTATATTCATTTTTTTCTGGGAGTTAAATGCCACACTCGAATAGAAATGGTCGGTATTATATTAATCGTCGGAACTGCACGAAACTTTTATTCATTAGGAAATTCGTCCGCCAGGCAACAAAATATTCAGCTGGCCGGTGGCAGACGTATACATCCATTCATATGAATAAATAAACGGCGCTATGTATAAAATGATTGATTGTTGACCCAATTGTCTCGTATTGCACATATTTAAATAGACTGGTCTACAAGTTGTAGACCAGTCTATTTAATTATCATTCACACAACAAAAAATTTGAACTGTGTGTTCAGCCTGAAGTCGGTGTCTCATTGTTGCGTCTGTGTACAGGATTAAGTTTATTCAACTGAATTGGATGACTTAGTTTGGATTGAATTCGTTGATCAACTGAATTCGAAGACATAATTTTGGATTGTATTCGTTGATCAACTGAATTTGGTGACATTTTTTAACTAGATTCATTGATCAACTGAACTGGATCACATGGGTTTGGATTATATTCGTTGATCAATTGAATTGGGTGACATGAGTTTGCATTGTATTCGTTGATCAACTGATTTGGATGATATGAGTTTGGATTGTATTCGTTGATCCACTGAATTTTTGTGACATATTTTTGAATTAAATTCATTGATCAACTGAACTGGATTATATGAGTTTGGGTTGTAGTCGTTGGTCAATTGAATTGAGTGACATATGTCTGGATAATATTCTTTGATCAACTGAATTGAATGATATGAGTTTGGATTGTATTCACTGAAGAATTGAATTGGATGACATGAGTTTGTTTTGGATTGGTACAGTGTTTTCGATCGTCAGCTTTAGAATCATAAATAGTAAAATAATATTATCAGTGAAGACGAATCGAATCCCATTAAGGGACCACATGTTGTAGCTAGGTGTTCAGCTAAGTTAAACTTATTAGATATTTTCTATCTATTTTTTTGTAAAGCTGTGGTTATTTAAAATCGTCCCAGTCGACATGTGATCGGGTTTTAACAACTAAAGGTTTCTAGTTGTAAAGGCTGATTGGCTATGAATTAAAAATAATTGTACATAATTTCGGAAAAGAAATTCAGAAAGAGAAGATCAGTGTTGACTCTAATGCATGAAGCTGGAACAGATTACGACAAACACGAGGTACGGGGAAAGAAACTGACAGCATAGAACTTACAGTTATAATTTGACTTGTCAAATGATAACAGCTTGCCGCTAATCTAGCACTGCGCTTAAATTCATAATGTTTAGCTACCACTCAGGAAAGTTCATCCGAACAATTACCATGGAGAAGACACAAGAAGGTTAAATTACGGTGGTGGGAAAAGAACTGATGCCAGGCTAGGACCGATAACATTGCGTATTCTCCTTTTGAAACATTTTACTTATATAAATATCTATGAAATTAGTATATTTCTTTGTCAAGGGAGGTACTGTAACAGAAAATACTATTTTGAATATTAAATCATATACTTGAAATTTTGTGCAATTGAGGGTACAAAGCGACATTCGGCATAGTATATATAGTATATACGCATACCAACACGTTTAAATAAATATATATATATATATATATATATATATATATATATGTAGGTTCGAATCCTCTCGGAGGACGAATATTTCCTGTGAAAATTTCTCGGACATTCAGGCCGGCAAATGTTGTTTAATACTGTTTATTATAAACAGAGCATTTACTTAAATATTTGTATCTATAAAAAGAATCTATAAACATAAAATGTCTTAAAATAATTGTCGGACTTTGTCCATTTCATAATGTGTTATATATGTATATATATATATATATATATATATATATATATATATATATCATAATTAAATAAAATTACCAGTAGATTAATATTATGATAAACATACGTTGATAATATTTATCAAGTTTATATGAATATGCCAAAAATATATATAATCAAACATTGATCGAAAATATTTGATATTTGCTGAAAGTCAACAATATAAAATAATTACGTAAAAGAAATTGAATTTAATGACGTAATGGAAAACAACTAAATAATCAATAAGTTTAAATATTACGATTTATGTGATCATTAGCAAATATAAATATTTATATGCATGCATACGGAGTTCTGATGGTGCTATCAATAGAAAAGTATAACACATATTAATTTGGAATTTAATCTCCTTCGAAGTATTTATCCATTTTGAAGCCACATACTTTATTAAGCCTCATTGATGGAAGTATTCCTGGAACTCTTTTTTTTTATGTGATAGCGAGCAACAGCCTTGTCTCATTCTCTTCAATTTCCTCGACGTTTTGAAATCTCGTTCACTTCAAGTTGGATTTGATTTTTGATGAGAAAAATGTGGCAAGGAGCGAGATCTGGGGAATATAGTGGTTCTCGGACCTGAGGAATGTGCTTGGCCCAAAACTGTTGTAGAAGCCAAGGCTACTGATCGAAACTCAGTGATGAGGAGAGACAACCACACTCTACACACTTTCTTTCCAAGCACTGCTATAAACAACGGAAGTGGGCAAGAACGTTATAACACAGTGTGCATGCGTGACAGAAGTTCAGGCTCAATTTGCGCCAAGACACTTCACTGTGCGTATTTAGTTCTGTTACCATACTTTTTGATCAGACCTCGCATATGTATAGGTTAGTATGTATACATGTGTATATAGTGATGTTAAAAACATTTTCAACTGGTCCTAAATCTAAATGTTACCTTCTCGACAGAATTCTAACGAGCCAAGAATTTGAAATTTACAAAAAAAAACCCCAAAAAAACAAAAAAAAAGTTTCTTCTGTAAAAATATGAGATCTGATAAATATTTCAAGAGATAGAAGGAACATCAGGCTCTGATGAGTAATTTGACGCGAAATTCTGGAATTGGTCAATGAGATCAAATCATTTAACTTTGATTTATTGAATATATATACGTGTGTGTGTCTGTCTGTGTGGGTGGGTGATAGAGAGAAAGAGAAAAAGTGTGTGTGTATGTGCATATGTGTGTCTGTTTAAGAGAGAAAGATAGAGAATGTGTGTGTATGTACTTGCGTACTTTCTTTTACTTTCAAAAGAAAGTTAGACAAAAGGCAGAATATAAAAACTGTTTTCCAAGGCAAGAAACATATCTGACAATATCTCGCTCGACAGTTGATATAAAGTCCATAAAAGATAACTATAAAGAATTAAGCTGGGCGTAAATGCGACCAAAAAAGCCGAGTTGGCTTAATCTCTATCTTATAAATTTTCTCTTGAAGCCTTTGACCCCAGATAGAGAAACTGTTTTTTTTTTTTTTTGTTTGTTTTTTTTTTTCTGGTCGGTCAATGACAATATGCAAAGTTACGCCGAGACAAACAGTCTTATTGAAGTTGTTACATGTGGAGTCGAGATGGCATATTGAGATAAAATGGTAAGTCTGTTAAGGCGTGTTGTTTACAAATTAAAGCTTTTATCTCTTACGCCTCGTGACTTGGATGCGAGTATTTTCGGTGACCCGTTGATATTTCTCTATTTTTATAGCCCACCTACGAGATACCAACAGAAGCTAATGCATGCAAAGGCACAGATGCAAATCCTAACTACACAAGTTGATAGAAACACTTGCGTATTGAATCAGGAAGGAATTTTCCATCCCAGTTTATTTAATTATGACCATCTATCTATCTATCTATCTATCTATCTATCTATCTATGTTTATATCTGTATTTTTCTGCGTTTTATCTATGTATGTATGTATGTATGTATGTATGTATCTATCATGTATTTTTCTATAATCTATCTATCTATCTATCTATCTATCTATCTATCTATGTTTATATCTGTATTTTTCTGCGTTTTATCTATCTATCTATCTATCTATCTATCTATCTATCTATCTATCTATCTATCTATCATGTCTTTTTCTATAATCTATCTATTATCTATCTATCTATCTATCTATCTATCTATCTATCTATCTATCTATGTTTATATCTGTATTTTTCTGCGTTTTATCTATCTATCTATCTATCTATCTATCTATCTATCTATAATGTCTTTTTCTATAATCTATCTATCTATCTATGTTTATATCTGTATTTTTCTGCGTTTTATCTATGTATGTATGTATGTATGTATATATGTATCTATCTATCTATCTATCTATCTATCTATCTATAATGTCTTTTTCTATAATCTATCTATCTATCTATCTATCTATCTATCTATCTATCTATGTTTTTCTGCGTTTTAGCTATCTATCTATCTATGTTCATATCTGTATTTTTCTGCGTTTTTTGTATCTATCTCTCTCATTCTCTCTTTCTATCTGTCTGTTTATATATCTCTGTCTTTTCATAACTATCACATTCTGTTCATATCTATCTATCTATCTATCTATCTATCTTGTTCTGTTCATTATCTATCTATCTATCTATCTATCTATCTATCTATCTATCTATCTTGTTCTGTTCATTCTCTCTTTGTCTGTCTGTCTATCTATCTTGTTCTGTTCATTACCTATCTCGTTCTGTTATCTATCTATCTATCTATCTATCTATCTATCTATCTATCTATCTATCTATCTACTTTTTCAGTCATGGTAGACAATACCTCTTTTATAAGAGCATATATTTCTATATCGCTTCATTTCTACTTCCCAACATGTATGTATCTGTTTAAGTCTGTTCTCATCCATCCTTATCTCCGTTTACCTCAGTCTGTTCTTATCTTTGCTCTCTCTCTCTCTTTCTCTCTCTCTCTCACTGCACACCTTTCTCTCACCCATACATATATTTGTATATTGTTTAAAATTTGCTATGTTTATGGAGGAGTGGCCAATATTGAAGGTAGAATGTTTGTAGTTACATCTAGTGTGGGCATAAGAAACAACACTACATTGTCTGAAGATCGCTTTTCGGAAACAGACCTCATGGAGTTTTGTTTCCTATGTCTACACAGATTCTCTCTCTCTCCCCCTCTCTCCCCCTCTCTCTCTCTCTCTCTATATATATATATATATATATATATATATATATATATATATATATATGAGGTATTATCGAAATGTGTCGGTTCAGCTACTTCGTATAACCATTATACTTATTTTATTGTAAAAACTTTGACATAGATAGATAGATAGATAGATAGATAGATAGATAGATAGAACAAAATGAATAAAGACAAGGAAAACTTATCTTATGTGATGCGTTTCGTACTTTGAGAGACTTTATCAATGCGAATATAAGAATTTATATAAAATATAATAATATAAGACTATTCCTAAGATTAGCGGAAGTTCATGGGAGTGAGGTAATATGATTCAATGTCTAAAAAACGAAAGTGGGTAGGATTTTTCTGCCTTTAAATAACCTGCAGAAATATTGATAAACTTTTAAAAATCAATAAATCAATTTAATGTTACATTAGGTAAGATTATTGACTTTGGAAGGGTGTAGAGTTCACTTTTTTACAATGATATCCAACCTGCACAAGAGCCACTCCTGGTAGAGGGTTACAGAGTAAAAAGCCTCAATCGTAGCAAAATGATAATGTCACAAAAACACATGAGGCTATTTCTGTTCAACAGATCGTGGTGGAGTTTGAACCGGGCGAACCTTTCTTATTTTAAACAAAGCAAGGCTGCTATCAACTTTGGACAGAAAATCATGTAGATGGTAGCAGTTATTTAAACAAAGCAAGTATGATCTGCCCTTTCAGGCCGAACCGGTTAATTTGAACGACATCAGATGGTTTGACGATATGCGTCTTTTTATTAATGCTATTAATCAGTTTAAGCAATACTCAAAATGTTCCCTTTCCGAACACTTCTTCAGAGTCAAACAAATATTCTATTAGCATTCCGGAGATACTGTCTATATACACTTGCCTATGGTCCGTATCATCTTACTTATTATAAAATGCAGATTGTGTGTGTGTCTGTTCGTTTATATATGGGATTGTAATTCCTACATTTTTCAACCGATTTCAACAAAACTTCACAGGACTACGTAAAATTACCCGGCGGTGGTTCTGATACCGCCAAAATTGTTTTTGCACGAAATCAATTTGAAAGCACGAGTAAGGGTATCGCACCCGACCGGAAGTTACTGCCGGCTACTCAAACGTCCGAAAACAGAAAGAATGCCGTTAACTTCCGGTGACTCAGCGTTTTTTTTTTTCAGAAAACGATACACAAAAAGTAAAAAAAAAAAAAAATGAAACATAAACATACACAAGTCCTCCTAACTAAAAATAATAACCGAAAAGTACTTTAAATACACATGGTGTCCAAATGAAACCCATGTGTACAGTCAAAATGCGGAAGTTAATTTTTAGTCATCAGCCAAAAGATATTGCCAACCGACTACAATGCTAACCGAAGCCGACATAAACACAGCCGATTTCTTCCGCCAAGCAACTTGGCAAAAATCTTTTGCTAAGTAACAGTCTAACTCTCTGCTCTCGGGCGGAGAGGAACCCGGACGAGGCTACGCCGAAGGGCAGAGTCTCGTTGGGGGTGGTTGACTGCCCCTGAACCCGCTTATGCGGGTTCAAAGAGGGATTATTTTTGGCCGAGACTACGGGCTCGGAAATCCCACGTTAAACCCGGCCTTGTGCCATATGTAACCCTCATGGGGGAGTAGCTAAATATCACTTGGCAAAAATATTGGCGAATTCGGATCGCTTCTCGGCCTTTTGGCTGAGATTCGATCACAGCTATGTCTAGCTTGGACCGGCTCAGGCCTGGACCAGCTAGGACAAGCCATGACCAGCTTGGACATGCTTTGACCAGTTTTGGACCAGTGACCCGAGTGGAAACGCTCGGGTCTCCCACGCTAAACCGACCTTGTGTCACATCCTGACCCCGTGGGAGTCAAGTAAATACCACATGGCAAAAATATTTTAAGTCAAGTGACAGCGATTGCTGTATGTAGCCGTACGATTTTTGAATCAAGCACGGGCAACGCCGGGCCATGCTGCTAGTGTTTACTATAGTCACTCCGACACTAGCTTTGGAAAGATTTATAAATAAGCAGATTTAAACACTTTCATCCGACATAATTAATTGATTCGTTTTCTATAACTTATCGACACTTTTTCGGATTATTTAAAGCCATAAAATATTTTTAGATTTTAAGAATTTTTGAGAAAATAATGGTTTAGTGATACAATTCTTAAAATTAACCGGAAACGGAGGGTCAAGAGGTGGATTGACACTTTTCCCATTTTACAATTTGTGCGTGAATATAACGAACCCAATGGGAATTGGAACCTAGCTACCCGATTAACAATTCTAGGCCATTATATAGTACACCAAACACATATTCAAGTTTACAGTATTCTCCAGCAGTCACACATGTTGGTACTGATCAGGCTAGACGTTGCTTAACTTCATTGATCATACAGGAACTGGAATTTCAACGTGATTTGGCCGTAAGCATTCACCGATTATAAAGTAGGCTTACACGTATCAGATACCAACTAAAAAGTCACTAGAATGAAGGATCAAGAAACCACTGACAGTCAGTTAAACGTGATAGGTGGTTACACGCTTGAATCATCATATGCCTTTCGAACGTTGACTGATTAGGTAGGCAGGAGACAGTCCCGCAGTAGGTTGCCGTTTCTTTCTGCAGTAGACTGGTTGCCAAACAAGGCAATAGGATCCAGACGGTTTGGAATTCAAATCATAGATGGGAAGAGAAGAGATGGATTCATATTTTTCCAAAGTGTATTTGCGCGTAAGTGAAAGTAACGAACCCGACTGGAATTCGAAATCGGCACAACGGTTTCACATTCCGAGCAGGTATCCATTACATAATAACGTACATATATCTGATAAGTTTACCGGGGATGAAATTCAGATAAACGATTTCAAATTCCGAGCCAATATCCATTGCACAACATATTTCCTACCGAGAACCGAGGATGAATCTCGATTTACCGATTTCGTATTCTGAGCAGATATCTATTACTCAACAACGTACATCGTTCTGAGAAGGTTACTGAGGATGTAATTCGATTTACCGATTTCATATTCTGAGCAGATATCCATTACTCAACAACGTACATCGTTCAGAGAAGTTTAATGAGGTTGTAAATCGATTTACCGATTTCGTATTCTGAGCAGATATCTATTACTCAACAACGTACATCGTTCTGAGAAGGTTACTGAGGATGTAATTCGATTTACCGATTTCATATTCTGAGCAGATATCCATTACTCAACAACGTACATCGTTCAGAGAAGTTTAATGAGGTTGTAAATCGATTTACCGATTTCGTATTCTGAGCAGATATCTATTACTCAACAACGTACATCGTTCTGAGAAGGTTACTGAGGATGTAATTCGATTTACCGATTTCATATTCTGAGCAGATATCCATTACTCAACAACGTACATCGTTCAGAGAAGTTTAATGAGGTTGTAAATCGATTTACCGATTTCGTATTCTGAGCAGATATCCATTACTCAACAACGTACATCGTTCAGAGAAGTTTAATGAGGTTGTAAATCGATTTACCGATTTCGTATTCTGAGCAGATATCTATTACTCAACAACGTACATCGTTCTGAGAAGGTTACTGAGGATGTAATTCGATTTACCAATTTCATATTCTGAGCAGATATACATTATTCAACAGCGTACATCGTTCTGAGAAGTTTACTGAGGATGAAATTCAGTTTATCGATTGCACATTCCGAGTCGATATTCATCTCTGTTGCCTAAAGTCTTCTCTTTCTCTTTGGAAAATTTTATGCATGGCAGAACATGGAGTGGAATGCATACTAAACGGATAAACATTACTAAAAGCTACAAAATATAGAAAATTGCGATAGACCCATGATCGCCAACGTACTCTGGAGTCACGTCACATAATAGAAGAAAGGTAAAATACACTAAGTTGCCGTGTTGCGACGATTCGAGTTTACGACGCAATCTACAGTATTTTTTTTCAGCATTACGCCCCGAGCAAGGCGTGAAGCCACTAGGATGTAGGGGGTTGCAGAAGATTTGGAGCGAGAGGAGATACGAGTGATAGAAGAAAGGATGAGGAGAAGGATAGTTGGTAGATCAAAGTAACTGGAGGTGTCGATTGACATTACATTTCAATAGTTGGAGATTCTAACTCTCAGGGAAACAGTAATTGGGAAGGGTGTTCCACAGGCGAGAGGTGCGTGGTACGAAGCTATTGGAGTAGAAGAGACGGCTACATTTAAAAGTTTCTACAGTGTAAGGGTGGGAGCG